CCCCGCACCCCCACCCAAAAAAAAATTTAAGTTTGTTTTTAAAAAATATTTTCAATTTCAAAAATTATTTTCTACTCTAGTAAAAATCAAAGATATTTCTCAAAAACATTTGTCATTCATAAATCAAACACAAAAAATCTTTTTCAAAAAATATTTTCAATCACCAACCAAACATGAGAAAATAAGTCAAAAATCTACTTGTTTTCCAGGAAACCATTTTCTAGGAAAACATTTTCCTTCATACCAAACACACCCTTAGCTTGCGTTATTTTTTTCCCTTTAATTTCGGAAACAACCATTAGCCCGGACCACGATGTCAACTTTCACTTCTTTTTTCTTAAAAAAAAAAAACTGAAATAGTGGATTAATCCCAAAAATATCAAATACTCTCAATCTCAAACGCCAAATCACTTCTAGCTTCATCTTTCCAAATTTCAAAATCACTTCTTTAGTTCTTCCGTCGAGAGTCGTGAGTCAAATATTAAAATCATCTCTCGTAATTTTATAAATGTTGATTTGGTTCATACTTGAATCGCAGATCCAATCTGAAATTAAAAAAATATTAAAACCATGCTTCTTAATTGAGAAAGATTAACAATGATCTCTTACTTATTTTTTATTATAGTTTGTACTTAGCATTCTAATTTTAGAGTGATACATCGTGAAGGGCTAGTGTTTTTGCTCAACTTTGCATTCTAATTTTAGATTGACACATGGTAAAGGGTTGACTTTTATTTTACGGTATTACCTGGTTAATTTTAAGTTTTTTGTGCCGAAATAAACTTTTTGTACCTCTAGACTATATACTACTACTTCCTTTAGAATTGTATTTGGCTTAGTCACACATTTATACTTTTTTTTAAAAAACTTCTTAAGTGAAAATTCTGAATTCGTCACAGTACACCACTTAATTACACAACAATTGAATCGATTATAGGGTGTTTTAGCATTTTCACATATTCTTTGAGAGAAGTTAATAGTAATGAGAATAATAATCGTAATGGTAGTACAAAGTCATGTGGATTTATGCACTGTTCACGTGGCTAACTACAAGAAATGGACTTGAATAATAATCAAATTTATATTATAACACCCGCGTGTAATATTAAATAATAAACCATGACTGGCTAACATAATTAAACACAAAACAAAGAAGATTAAAAATTACGCCAACCATGTACGACTAACTTTTATATAATAAGGTAATAATTTAATGATTTTGATGTAATAAATAGAAATAAACATTAAGACATGCTATCCTTATTTGGCTAAACAGTTTTTTTATATTTTCCTTTTTTATATTCTCCTTACCCTAAAAAGAAAGACACGTTATCCTTATTTGGCTATAAATAGTGACTATCGCAAAACCATTGTTCTCACACACACATTTGATTTAATATTAAGACCGACTTTTTCAACCGCTCAGATATCCAATGGCTCCTGGAAGAACTAACTTCAGTTCTCATGAATTTCCTATGGCTAGTGGAGCAAGCCCTTTCAGCTATCGAACAAATTCCGCCTATCAGGTTTTTTTCTTTCTTATCGATTAAAATTTTCGAGAGTCATTTTCTTTTACTATACAAAAATATCGTAATTTTATCATTTGTATATTTTGAGGTCATTTGTATAACGAACGATAATTTTAAATCTTAGTAAAATTATGATTTAAAGTCAAGCGAAAATAATGAAGGGTTTCATGTGGAAAAGTGTATGAATGACCTCAAAGTGTAACATAGCATAAAATTAAGGGATAAGGGTCTGAAAAATACCCAACTTTGGTCTGATTTGTTGTTGCGATACTAAACTTTCATGAGGACCTATTACCTCCCTAGACTATTTAATACCGTATTTTAAACATATATATTTGCCCACGTGGACATAAAAAATAATACAAAATTATAAATAGTAATGTGTCCACGTGGGCACATATATACCTTTAAAATACACTATTAAATAGTTCAGGGGGTAAAAAATACGGTATTAAATAGTCTAGGGAGGTAATAGGTCCTATGAAAGTTTAGTATCGAACAGCAAATCTGACCAAAGTTGGGGTATTTTTCAGACCCTTATCCCTAAAATTAATATACTTTGTATAGTAGAGTGTTAATTATGAACTTTTTTAAAATAATACATAGTTTTCAAATATATAATTTTATATTTGTACAGAGACGTGTTGTTCGTGCTACGAAGCAACTGATGCATGCAGTGGTGATGGAAAAACTTCAAGTCGAAAATGGATCTATTTTTCAGATAACTGATATGGGTTGTTCAATCGGACCAAACACATTCATTTCAGTTAAAAACATTGTTGAATCAGTGGAATTGAAGTTCAAATTAATGAACACTCAGGAAAAACATATTCAAGTTTTGTTTAACGATCATGCTTATAACGATTTCAATACCCTTTTCGCATCTCTACCATCAGACAAATCATATTATGCTCATGCTGCAATCGGTTCTTTCTATGATCGTGTTTTTCCAGATAAATCCATCCATATCGTCAACTGTTCATATGGTCTCCATTTTCTTTCTAGAGTTCCAAATAATGTCGAAAATAGAGAATCAGTTGCTTGGAACAAAGGGAAAGTTTATTATTCACATAGTAAAGAAGAGGTGATTAGTGAATATTCAAAACAATATGAAAAAGATATGGAATGTTTTTTGAATGCTAGAGCACAAGAAGTTGTACCTGGTGGATTAGTGTTTATTACTGTTCCAGCTCGTCCAAATGGAACTCCTCACTCTAAAGTTATTTACAATATGTTAGCTGACATATTGGGATCTTGTTTTCTCCACTTGGTCAAGCAGGTAAGAATCGTTACGTGTTTTTTTTACTATCAATTTATGTGAAGGTGTTTGACTGGTTACGGAATTTAATTTAATTTGTAGGGTGATATTGAGGAAGAGGAAGTGGATTCATTCAATATACCAGTGTATATTACATCTCCAATTGAAGTAGAAGAGGCAATTAAAAGAAATGGAAGTTTTAGCATTGAAAAACTAGAGATTCTTTCAAAGGAAACATCACCAATCAATGGTTTAACAGCTAAAGATGCATCAGTACACATAAGGGCTATAACTGAAGGACTAATTGAAGAAAAATTTGGAACAAAAATATTGGACAAATTGTTTCAACTTCATGAACAAAAACTTGAGGATGCATATCTTGACTTGATTTCTGGTGAAGCAATAAGTTTATTCATAGCTCTTAAACGCAAGACAAACCTCTAATGGAGTGCCTAATTTCTTGTTTTTTTGCTTTTGTGAAATAATGTTGTTTCTAAGTATGGTTGTCCTTTGGGGTTTCGAAATGTTGTTTCTAAGTATGTTGTATGAAGTGTAATGTGTTCGTCACTACTCTATTTTATTTTCGTACTAATGAAACATGATCAAACGTGTACTAATTTGCTTAGGACCTATTTTTTTATTGCTCAAACACTTTTTAAGTTATGCTCAACTATCTCTCAAAGGATAATTTATACTTCCTTCGTATCAAAAAGAATGATTCAATTTCTTTTTAAGTCTATTTCAAAAAGAATGACTTTTTTGGCAACATTTTAACTTCAACTTTTCACGTGACATGTTTAAGGCCACAAGATTAAAGGGTATTTTGGTACATTTGACATAATTTTAATTTAGAACCATAAAATTAAAAAGTTTCTTTTCTTTTCTTAAACTCCGTTCTAAGTCAAAGTAGATCATTCTTTTTTAAACGAAGGAAATAGTACATTTTGAACAAAATGATAGCAGATTCAGAATTTGATGGATATGGGTGCTCAATCGCAATGAAAATGGAATGGGACAAGGTTGGACTACTTGTGGAGAACTTCGATCCTTGTGAAGTCATGGGAAAATAATATTGGCCGTTGATGAGAATATTCTACGGTTGAGATGATATGTAATAAAAGTGACAGAGATCGATGACGTGGCTGTTAATGAGGTTCCAAAATTTGAATATTTTTGTATTATTGGCGGGGAACTAATGGGCGATTACCGCCATGGATGAATAATAATACATTATATTCAATTTTAAAATATTTCTCATCGAATTAATTTGCATATTGATAAAGAATTCATTTTGGAGATTACTTACAATTTTTTGTTCATTTTTCATGCTTAATATATTTGAAAAGATCAGTTTATTCTATTTATTTTAAGCAAAGATATATCTTCGTTACTCCACACTCTTTTTGAGGTTTATTTTGATTTAGGGAGAGTTAGATTAGTACAAATTAAGAGAAATTAGCACTCTAGATCTCACAAATATTAATGAATTCTTATTAGTCTTTGAATTTTTTAGTTAATATATTTAAAGTTTGATTAATTGATATCTACTTTTGAAGTTCTGATCCAAATTGGCACTTCAAAAACCAATGAGTAATTAAGAGTTAAATTATCAATGTATCATATTAAATTTATAATGATTACTAATTTGATAATAATATAATTATAGTAATTGTCTTAATAATACCATTAGTTATTATTTCAAATATAAGATTCAAAAAAAATGAACAGAGCAACGATCAAATCTAAACTTCATCAATAATTGAGGTATCAATAATGTTACTATCCCAACCCTATAAAGTTATGTTGCTCGGATTCTTAGATAATATCAAAACATATGGTTAAATCCATAAAAGAAATGTGTAAATTTGGAGAAATCAACACTAGTACATTAGCTTTTCAATATGAGGCTATTTGGTGTCATGAGATAGTAAAAATATTCATACATCAAACTAACAATCATATACACAACATAATCTCACACGTTCGAAGACAGTGCTCAAGCAAGATAAGAGCTTCAGCACCATAAAAGTCTAATCAATTAAAAGACTAGCTAACAATATAGAAAATGCTCAATTGCAGAAATTAAGGAGAGGAAAGATATGAAACTGAATCTGCCAATAGTATCCATTGATTTCAAGCTAATTTTCAGAAGTTTTGAAACAAGCTACAACCACATCTCCTACATGAACCATACTAATTACACCAGAATAGAACCCATTAACCCCAGCAAAAAGCAGAATAATTTCTTGACAGCAAGACTTTTGCAGACTAAACAAAAGTCGGAACCCAAAAACTCCCATTCATCCTCCAAAACCATACAGAGTCCTTCCTTGTCTCTTGAGTGCATAGACAACATCCATAGCAGTGACCGTCTTCCTCCTAGCATGCTCAGTGTAGGTAACAGAATCACGAATCACATTCTCCAAAAAGATCTTCAAAACTCCACGAGTCTCCTCATAGATTAGCCCACTGATACGCTTCACTCCTCCTCTACGAGCCAAACGCCTAATAGCAGGCTTAGTGATACCTTGAATGTTATCACGGAGCACCTTACGGTGACGCTTTGCTCCTCCCTTTCCCAATCCTTTTCCTCCCTTTCCACGGCCCGACATTGAGTTTATCTGAATCAACACAACAAATAAAAACAATTTAGTAACCCAAAACAACCATATAAACAAAACCCAGATAAAATTACAGTATTATTCATGTAAATTAGAAAAAAAAATCCAGATTTAGAAAAATTGTTGAATCAAATCTCAATTTAAATGTATGATTAAACTAAGCAATAGTTGAAAATTCGAACCTAAAATAGGAAGCTTTCTGAATTTCAAAGAGTGATAAGAGAGACAATGATGAAGACGATGGTGATTTGGGGAAAATGAGGGAGCTTATTTATAGCTGGTGGACTGTTATTAATGGAGTTGGCTTCGATCCGCGTGATTGGTGGAAGAAGCGATTGTTACCGTCAGATAATACAAGATTAGACGGTCAAGATGAAGTGCCATATGATTGACGAGGATTGCCAGCATGGCATTATTTTATTTTTGTTTTTGTTTGAAATAATGGTGGGAAAGATCGAAATCGATGAAGCAACTGAGCGGGAGAATTGACTTGGATTTTGGGCCGGGTCTCGAATACCTCTGTTTCTATTCAAGTTTTTTTTTTTTAGTTTGTTTAAAAAAAATATATATATATTACATGATTTTCTAATTTCAAAGTTTTGTGCGACTTATTTAAGATTTACAAGGTATAATTATCTTTGTGATGTTCATGAAATTGCGATGCACCAATAAAAAAAAGTGCATTGAGGACATGGTTTATATGTGACGAATCCAACCATCTAAACAAGTCCGAAATAGTTATACAAACTTGTTCAATACTCCAAGAAAAAGTTTTAATCATAAGGGTCAAGTTGTTATACACAATCTCATCCATATTGCTTGGCATTGGAGGTGGAGCATAAACAAAATAATCTAAGTCTAATGAGTTATTCTCCATTATTTATAGTCAAAATTAACTATTACATAAATACTCTTAATCAAAATAAGGATCATGACTTGTGTCTTAAAGAATAGTCATTTGAATATAACATGTCACTTTGAATGAGGTGACAACCCAATATGTTTTTTGAAATGGAGACGACCTAAATTGAACTTAACATGTCACTTTGAATGAGGTGGCAGCCCAACGTGTCTTTTGAAAGGGAGACGACCTAAATTGAATTTAACATGTACTTTAAACGAGGTGACATCCCAACGTATCTTTTAAAAGGGAGACAACTCAAATTGAATTTAACATGTGACTTGAAGGGTCAAGTTGTTGTTGACACCTAATTTTGACCCTCCCCGGTAATAGTTAATTTCGAGCTTCTTAATTTTCAAATGATTTAAAGTAACTAATTTTAGAAATTTTGAAAATATAAAAATAAATAAATATATATATATATATAGTTTGTCACTTGTTATAATTTTTAAGTAATAATATGTCTTTTATATAATTATGTATATAATTAGTGTATTTTATAAATATTAGAAAATCGTCTCAAAGAGATTTTGTTTAATTAAATGTTTGGTTAGTTTGTTTAGTTATCTAATAGTTTACGATTTTGAGTTAATTAGTTAGTTTATAATTAAGTTAATTATGTGTCTAATTAGTATATTTTACGAATATTCGAAAATAATCTCAAAAGATATTAGTTTTGGTTATATAATAGTTTATATTTCAAATTAATTAGTTTATAACTAAGTCGATTATTTCATTTTTTTTTTCTTAGATTTAAGAAGCTCGTTAATTAATTTACATTAATTCATTTAGCTATTAGTCGAATCCCTTGAACCCATTTGTGATACACCAAACTTAGCTTGGGCCTATTCTCCTTATTCCAATTCAATACCTGTGACCAGCCCAATGTTTCCTTAATTCTAATTACCTCCAGCACACCAAAATCAGCCCATACCCGACCCAATACTCCTCTTCAACAAGAGACCAGTGCACACAACTTTCAGACGTTACCAGCTGCTCAAAACGACAACCAGCAGCAGCTAATGTTACAGCAAAAGGCGCTGTTCCAGCAGCAACGTTCACCTGCGATATTTGTCCTTGCAGCCAAGAGATCGAGCCACGTCGACGCTCAAGGAAGATCGATCGATCGAGCTCGTCCATTTCCCCTTTCCTCTTTCGGAATGGGGCAAAATCTTAGAGGAAAAGGTGTTTGGCTGAATTGGGAAAAGAATTCAATTTTTGAATTTGGAATTCGTCCCTTTCCCCCCATTCTCGGAACCCTAATACCCTTCTATAAATATTCTTGTTCTTTCCAATATTAAGGGGGGGCGGATTTATTTTAAAAAAAAAAGAAACTACGTAGAGCAATTCAAAAAAAAAAGGTTAAAAAGTCATATTAAATACATTTCAAAAAACAGAGGAGAACGATTTTCAGATTTTTGAGTTCAACATTCCATCTTAGATTTCCTAATCGCTGCTAGTGTTTGAATTTCGTGGTGGAAGAGTCGTAGTCGTCAGCTTGCCGTCCCTGTTTGCTGCACTTTGGAAGGTAACGCCTCTTATTAAATTTTTATTTATTTATTCAGTTGGTTGCCGGCTGTAGCTGCTGTTAAGTTGATGTAGAGGGGACTTCGGGGTCAATTGTTGTTCCCGTTTTCCCGGTTTTCATAGTTGTCCCAACGTCGGTTCGGAGATGCTCTCTTTTAGTTTAGTTTGTCATTGTTCGTTAAGAAGCTGCAGCAAATAGGAAAAATGTGTTCAATGTGTTTATCTGGTTTTTGGAATGTTTGGAATGTCACAAACTAATGCCCCAACTCCCTGTTAATTAGAAGGTCGCTTTCTCAAGCCCTTATACTTACGAGTTTTATTTCTCTTTCCCTTCAAACATTTGCAGCTTAGCTCCACTAAAAATACATAAATTATTGTTGGTTTAATGTTAAATG